AGGGATGCACAGCTGGGCCAGTACACACCTCCCAGGAGGGATGCACAACTGGGTCAGTGGACACCTCCCAGGAGGGATGCACAGCTGGGTCAGTGGACACCTCCCAGGAGGGATGCACAGCTGGGTCAGTGCACTGCACAGCTGAACCAATGCACACGATTCACAGAAAAAGGGGAAAGTAGTAAAAGGAGGAGAAAGAGGAGGCATACCGCCATGGAAGCAGTAGCACAGGTCTCATCCTACATCAGGGTCAGAACTCAGGGAACTGCCAGCATCTACAGCAGGCCTGAGCCAACGGGATGCTCATTTCCCCGGAATAAGCATCCCAAGTCCCATTCCTCCTCCTTCCGAGTATGTAAGAGGTTTATAAAGAGACACATGACATTCCCAAACCATTCTCAATGAAACATAAAGACTTAGTTCTGGGCATCCCCACCAAGTTCAAATACACCAGTGTATTCCACCCTCACAGGACCCAAGTCTCCTGACTCATAAGGTATCCGGGGCTCAAGCCCCACATTTGGGACATGCCATTTTTTTTTGCTGCCCTGTGCTTGCAATGGAGCCCCAGCGCTCTGCCCTCTACTGTCTGAGAGCTCGCAGCAACCTCCCTTCCAATGTGATAAAGAGTGTCTGCAGGCACTGGGGATGCCCCTTAGAGGGCACACCCACCCAGGTGAGAGCCTCTGCTCACACAGACACTCCCTGACACTCGTATGTGTACAAGGGAGTTGAGGGATCTGGGAGGAACGAGAAGGAAGGTGTTCAAGCACGAGGTTCCTACCAGAACAGCTTTCCAGCCTGCGCCTCTCCTCCCCGGATGTAATGGGTTATTTCTTTGGTGAAATTCCATTCTTCCTCTAACAGGTTTTTTAAGCTATGGGAAGCCTGAGGTAACTGCTGTAGCATTTGGATCCAGCTCCTCATGTAATCAAAATACACCTAAAAACAAAAATATAAAATGACAAGTTTCAGAGAGTCCAGCAGCTTAGAGCTCGGCCTGTTAACACAATATAAACCAGAAACACCGGTGAGACAGAGCAGCGGCCATGGAAAGCACGGCACGCTGGGAAACAGGACCAGGCCACAGCCCACTGATGTCTAAATGAGGACTCTCCACCTGTGTGAGTCTTCAGCAACGACACATTCAAACCCTTTCAGATTCCTATGGAGTAACTGAAACCATCACAAAATATAGAAAAGTATAATAATGCTTTTTAAAAAAGCACATGAAAAATTTCATCATGGACATGGCTCCTCTGGGACGCTAATGTTTTATTTTGTTTGGTTACTTATTTCAGCGGGCACATGTCCCGCCAACCCTTCCTGAGCCCCACATTTGTGACATGGATTCTTCTAGACTTATTATGAAATAGGGTCAGAACATTCGGCTGACCTAAGGTCGAGACTATCTCCACTACATGTGCTCCAACCGCTTTATCATTCTCAATTCCCACCGTGACTTTCCTGTCAATTAGGAGTGTGTGACGGTTAACAGCATACAGACCAAGAACAGGCCCCTCACCATCAGCATCTTCTGGGGGGGGGGGGCGGGGGGGGGGGGGGGGGGGGCCCCCCCAGCATCGGCGTGTTCTGCGCCCCCCTCACCATCAGCATCTTCTGCAGGTCCTCCTCAAAGGCATCCATGTTGCAGTCGGTCTTCTCCAAGCCGTCCAGGACCTCCTGCAGCATGAACTGGTAATACTGCTTCATCAGGAGCCCACCCTTCAGGACCTCTTTACACTCTCGCACTAGCTGCAAAAGAGCACACGCCATGGACACGGCCGTCACCCATGCGCCCTGGCCACACAGGCTGCCAGTCCTCACAAATCAGCCCCCAGGACCTAGCCTCTGAGGAACCTGAAATGGTTTCTGACTCCTAAGAAGCTTGTTGTGTGTAACAGTTCAGCCATCTGTAACATGGTGAATCGACATAGAGAAGCCGCTCCACCAGGTACATCCTACAAATCCATTCATATTGAAACGATTTTCACTCCGTAAGGCCACTTCTACCAATGCACAGTGTAAGACAAGAGGAAGAAGAGCAAAAATAGCTCATGAGATGGGAATTCTAACCAAAACCAAGATTTAAATAACATATCACAGAAAACGGTGGCTTCTGAGTGACATAGCGTAGTTACCCACTCCGAGTGGTGTGCGGCTTCGTCTACTACCAGAAGCTGCAAACCAAGCCGACTGTAATCTGATGAAGTTAGAGAGAACTCAAGGAATCCAGAGAAGACTGGCAAAGGTGCAATGTTCCTGTGTGGCAGGTGATGTGCAGAGGGGGAACGCAGAGATGAGGCGACCCCAGAAGCCCCTCCCACCATCAGAGCTGGCGCTCTCCAACCACAGGCCAGGGACTGAGGCGGGAAGACCTACACAGTCACTGCGGTTCAGAGGCCACAGCCGCAGTGTGGTTCCAGGGCAGTGGCTAGCAAACAGAGGCTGTGGCTTTCAGACTACTACGTTTGCACCCAAGAACTAATCAGGGGTGCACTCGCACCGCCCCCCCCAAGCGTGTGTGCATACACTGAGCCCTGTGGAGCCATTTAAAGTCTTGCTTTGCTACAGTCTTTAGAGAATCACATGTGTCTGCATGAACACACACATTACAAACACACAGCAACTCTTGTCTGTATGCACTGGAAGTGTATGTGTGCAGGGAGGACAACTGGACGGAGACGCACATGATCTGTGCTCATCTCGAGTGCCGGGAAAACAGGGATTAATTCCTGTTATTTTCTATGCTTTTCAATTTGTCTAAAGCAAGAAATAAGATTGCTTTTGTAGATAAAAGCCCTTAAATGTTTCTCAAATAATTATTCATGGTATAAGAACTGTAGCTACAGGCCAAATCTTCTAAAAGTGAATGCACCTACTTTACTATATTAAATGCCATGTAGGTATTTACTACTGATCCTTGAATTTTTGTAACAGAAAATTTCTATTCTTTTTTTTTCTTCCTGAAACACAACAACAATCCTAGTACTGTTGGTCACTGTTTGAAGCGCATTAATATAAATTGCTATTTAACTGTATGAGAGTCCCATTGGTGAAGCGACTCCACCCTGTCTCACAGGGTTGGATCTGATGAGGAACTGAGACGGGTATTTGCCTAGCAAGACTCAGCTACCCGCTGCAACACAGAGAACAAGGCAGAGCTATGGCCAGGTGAGCCAGAAAGACAACGACAACATGAGCCGTGGAAAGGCCATGAGGCTAATGTGGAAACAGCTCTGGGCTGGTGCAGACTGTCAACTCTGAGTGGCAAGTGACAAAAAGCCTACTCCCAAATGACCGCATTAGTCACCTGGGTCTACACTTAACCAAACAAGCAAACACATGTCCTATCTGGACCTGCTGTGTGACCTGATCCACCTGTCTTTCTTCAACTGCATTGACCTATGATCTGCAGAACCACGGGGGCCCGTCAGCCTCCAGCAGGTGGAGTAAGGCTCTGAATGGCTTTACTTTACATAGTTCATGTCAACACGTTAACAGCACAGGGCCTGAAAGATGCTCCTCAGCCTTCACTGTCAATGAAACTGCTTCCAGTCGCCCCACGGCTGCTCCTGAGATACAGCCCCATACAATGAAGAGCCCACCTGAAGCTCACAGCTCAGAAGGAAAAGTGTTTCAATCCTACTGTTGAATCTGCAATGGCTGCGAAGCAAGCAGAAAGTCCTGGCATACTCTAAGACATTTCCTACACACACCTCTAACAGAATAAAGGGACAGAATGAATTTAAACCATCTTTAAGGATGAATTCTGAAAGCTGGAGAGAAAGCTCAGTGACATGTCACCCGCCATCCAGCACGGTCTCTCGGAGCATCAAAAATAAGTAACTTTTTAAAAAAGGAATTTTGTTGCCATTCACTAGGACTCACAGAAAGGATAGACACAGAGTCATGTGACAGCCTCTTTTCATACTTTTCGGGAAGAAGTGAGTGGTAAAGAAGCTGAAACACACTCTTATCTCTGGGGACTACAGGTGAAGAACATTCTAGATTGCCCCCAAAAGAGTAGTAAAAACAAACACTAAGATGTATTTTTCACTGTTTGCAATAACTGAGGGAGGAAATTGTGAAAGGGAAGGCGGTGGTAATGCAGCCACGACTGCCTGTCTGAGTGGTGTTGGACACAAACCTGTTTGATACTCAGGAGGGAAGGCTCCCCGGCAGGCCTCTGTTCCAGCCGCAGCTTCAGGCACTCGTGGATCACGCTCAGCAGGACCCGACAGAGCACCAGGAAGGCGGGCTCAAAGGAAGGCAGGTCCATGGCCCGCAGCTCTTCCCAGGATACGGCACTGCACTTCTGCTCTGAGGAGGGAGGCGTCCCCGACAACTGCACATAATCCGAGCCCCACATGGGACCTGGAAAGTCAGAGAACTGCGGCAAAAGTTCAGGACAGATTAAAGCTGTGCGCAGGACGTAGCCTGAAGCTGTGCTTATAAGTTTTGCTACAACCTGCTGACATGTCTACAAAATTCTCATTCTAAAATGAAAGATGGCCAACAACTCAACATGTACACAGAGCCCCAGTCCCAGTGACATGTTACACACAATGCACTATCTAGACTGAGAAACCAAAGAGTTGCTAAAATTACAAGAAAAAATAATACAAAACTCCTAAATAGCTGTTTATGTGAGAATAAAAACCAGCCGAGCTTGCATCCATTTGAAGTCACACTTCCCGATACTGCAGAAGACAGCTTACCCCCAACCCCCAGCTGCCCTCAGTCACCTGTCACCTCATGCTGCCTGGGAGTCCTATTGTGTCATTACCCACTCCTCCTTCAGCTGTACCACTCAAATTGTTAAACTTTTCCCCAGAAAGCAGGAGATCTAGAGCTTTCTCCCCTCATTCTTAAGCCTCTGACATTGGAAGCAGCAGCAGCAGCAAGAAAAGCCTTGACCTTTTTCTAAGCGAGAACATCAAAGTTGGAAAGCCTCAACTTGCCGCATATCCAACTGTAGTTCATTCTTCATCTGTGGCGTCTTTGGCCATCTTTAGTCACCTTGGGCCACCTTCCCATCTACCAATGACTGACCTGGCCTGGTCCCTGCCCTCCTGAGTGCCCTCATCTCTCCCCACTGCTCCTACACAGACTCCTATGGCCCTTACACATCTCCATGCGCTGGCCCTGCTGCAGGCTGCTTGCTCCTCTAGGAGTTTTCCTAACTCAGCCCAATTCCCAAGACTCACCCATGACACCTTTCTACGGATTTCCTTCACCCTACAGCATGCACGCACGCTGTCCCTCGAGTGCATTTCGACTGTCATCATCGAACTATCATAGCTCAATGACGGACGGGGTGGGGAATCAATGCTCAAAAGTCACAAAGTCTAGCTTTGGGTCATTTAATTAGCTATGTGGTTCTGAAAGTATCTAGAGGTCCTCAGGCTGTTTCTTTATTTTAAAAACAGACTTGGACTGGGGATTGGAGCTTAGTATGAAGCATTTGCCTGTATGAGGACCTACACAAACACACACACACACATGCATACCTGTGTGTTCTCCCCCCAACCCCACTGTCCACCTTATACAGATTACGGAGAGCAAACCCCAGAAAAGGCACTTAGAAACCATTTGCTATGTCTCTCTATCTGTTGCTTTGGAGCAAACGCAGGCAAAGGCAGCTTAATGCAGATCTGTGTCGGACGGTCACAGCCACAACCTTCAAGGGCTCAGTAGCTGACTTACAAACACCTTGGCTGCTGACTAGATGGATAATTCATGTCAATTACCGTCTTAAAGATGGCTCCCTGTCCCTGTGTTACATCTGTTTCCATAGTGTGGCTCTCAAGATACTGTGTGTCCACAGCCACCTTGCTGTACCTGATTTCAGTGGGATCTATCTCCTGAGTGCTTCTCCGTTCCATGCATCCTAGCTCCTGCCCTACACACTAGTTTTCAACAGCATCTTCTGATCCTGACGTCTCACCCCACAGAGCTTTGTCCCAGGCTTGTCTTACTTCTAGCTGACACTCAGTGCTGCACTCGTACCTGTGAAGACCATGCCCTCTTACTTAGTCCCAAGGCCCAATACCCACACAGGCACTGACCACACCGACCATGAAGATGCGGTAACTCTACAGCACGCTGACTGTGGCCATCCTGCTCTGATTCTGCACAGGCAAACCCCTAACAAATGACTCACTCTTCTCAGGAGGAGACCAGAATGGCCATCTCTAGGGGTTTTCTGTGGCTGCCTCAGGGAGCATGTTTCTCACAGTCCACACACCTTGCAAATGCACGTGTGGTTACCCAGTCGCATCCACCACTGCACACTGAGCTCCCTGGTAAACCACCAGTTCTGAGAAGAAGACCCTTTACCTCCAGTTACTCAGGATCGGCCAAAACTGGGTCAGCATTTGCATCACAGGGATGCTGAGCCAATTTTTGACCAGTAAGTTAATGGCGAACATCTTGATTCTCCAGCTCCCCCAACAGTACCAGAAAATATCCGACGCCCTGAACTTCTATTATCAGTAAGTCCCTGGTTCTCAGACTTGTTTCTGTGCTACTTGGGGATGCCATCACAAGCTGAAATGTCTATGGTGCCAAGGAGGCAGCAGACGCTAGGCAGATGTGGGAGGGGCTGAGGTGAACGAGCTCTTACACTGCTGGTCAGCTTCAGCCATCAGTTCCTGAGTGGGAGGTGAGGCCTGGTGTTCCAAGAGAAACCCCCAACACGGAATTTCAGAGGACCCCCTCCCATTTAAAACACTAACCACTAAGTTAAAAAGTAGTATTAGACATTCATATGCATAGGTCCGTTATCATTAAAGGCATGCGAGACAAAATGTTAACTCTAGGAGGCAGCATAGTGCAGCCAAGAGCAGGCATAGCTTCATGTCCTGATACTGGTACATGCAGTGTGTATGCTCCTGACCAAATTACTTGGCCCTCAGGCACGGGACACTGTTCAGTCAGTGGCTGCTGTTGGCTCTGTTCCCAACAGTGCTGTTGCTATGCTGTCACCATGGGATCCAGCAGTCCCTGTGACTTCCAACTCCAATCTTACTGTCAGGTCTGATTCAGCTGGCTCACAGCTGTCAAAACCATGTGGCACAGCTTCCCCTACATAAATCTGTTTTAAAACAGAAATCCTCTAGGCAAATGGGCAAGCACATGCTTCTGAGGCTGCCATTAAACCCAAGTTCTTGTAACTTTACTTATGGAATCAGACAGGCAATGACTGGAACAAACCACTTGGCCCCGGCAGCTTCACACACTTCATGGCAGCATGCCACACTTCATGGCAGCAGAAGTTTACCACGCTTCGGGTGGCTGGCACGGATCTGCACTGTGCTAGCCATCGGTCCTGCATCTCACACTAGAAGATCTGCTCTCCAGGATGGGCAGAAGTGTATGTTTAAAGCTCTTTGGGTAGTGCTGATGTGTAGCCTGGCCTGCAAACCACTGGCCTATTTTTCAGTCTGGTAGCTCAGACTCGCCCAACAATCCACAACACTGTGACTCTGAGGTTACCTTCTCTCTAAGCCAGTTTCCTCCGGGGTAAACTGGAGCAGTGATGCTGTCTGGCACCTGGTGAGACTAAGCGGCAGCCTAGTCTCTGATGCCGTGTCCACGCTAAACAGCCTTTTCAGGGTTTCCTGTGTCACAGGAAAGACTGGCATAGTGTTTTAACCATCAAAGACAGACAGTACTTTATTGGCCATTAAACATAATTAAATAATTTCTAATGCAAGAAAGTAATTAAGCAGAGAAATCCTGTCTCAAACCCGCCCCCCCACCCCGCCAAAAAAAAAAAAAAGAAAGAAAGAAAGTAAGACAGTAGCCAAGCACTTCCTCGGTATTTGTGATAATATGGCAAAGGCAGTCGAGTAGTGTCAGTATCTTATATACTACACTAACATACATGCAGCCTCGATGAGGAACGCTGGGAAAGCGCGCTAACTAGGCTAGGACAAGGACAAACGGGGGTGCTTAAACTCTATGTTGTGGCTCCAAGTTTAGCCCTCTCAGGAAAAGGAGCATACACTAGAAGGGATCTCACCAGGAAAAAAAAAAAAAAGCTAAAATATGGGTAAAGAAAGAGATGTGCCAGGGCAAGAGCAATGCTCCTGCTAACGGGTGATGGACAGGTAATTATAGTTCCGTGTGCACACAGAAGACATCCAAGAGATAGCTTGGAAGCAGTAACACAGCAACCATGCTCAGTCCAGGGTGGGCAGGCCAGAGGTACTGTGCTCACAGACAGCATCTGCAGAAGGGCAGGCACTGGAGACTGAGCACTGCTCAGGGAGCCTAGTCTGCTATGTGGAAATGGTAATCAGACACACTCGACCGTGGGAATTTAGATCACAGCAAGGTGAGAGATATCAGAGGGGCCTGAAGTCCAAGTAGGCTCCACACAGAGGAGAAGGGAACCAGGAGATAAACGAGAAAGCAACAAAGACCTCGGGTCGGCTCTTGGAACACAGGGTGGAAGACTGGAGCTTCATTCATTTCTTCCTCTTACACTACACTGTCCTGGCCTCAGGGGAGATCCTGCTGGCATTATGAGTCTATCTCGTGGGCTTGCATACGTGATGACCTGAGTCTCTCACAGAAGACTCTTTCAAGCTGCAGACGAGCGCCTTCTACCTGAACTCTGACAGGTAACTCATCCTCAAACTGCAGAGAACCTATGTGGTCTGGGTGTGCCCTAGGGAGTGACAATCACTGAATTCAAACAAGCCATTAACAAGGATGCTGCTCATGTTATTAAGATAAACAGAGCAGACTATTTCTAGTTTGTACATTTTTTAAACAATAAATATAATAAAGCTTTAGGAGAAAAGCATTTTGTAAAGCATGCTTCCAAAGGGTTACTAAAAATTATTGACAAACACTGCTTAGAAGTAATGTAATCATAAGGAATAAACATATAAAGTCAAACATAGGAAAAAATGTCACAAATCAATGTTATTTCTTTTCTATAAAGCCTATCAGTGAGGTCAGCCAGAAACCACAAAGGCAGAATGCATAGCAGCCATGCACTCTGCCCCGTCTGCTGCAGAGCCATCTGGAGGCTTCCAATAGTGAAGCGGGAGCACAAGGGCTTGTGTACTGTGTGAGGGGCTGGGCTCGGCCCTCCCTACCTCAAATGCCTCCAAAAATACCATTATTAGGAAGAGATTAAAGATAAAACTACATATTTTAAAAATAAACAAAAGCCCACACTGATTTATACTTGGCTTTGGTGGGAAAAAATAATGTAAAGATAATCTTAAAACTAAAGGAGTCTGTATTTGATGCATATAGATTTTACCATATATATGAGTATCTGTTGAGGCTTCATCAACTCTGTGGGTAGACAGGAATGCACTATTACAGACGTCTCCCAGACAGAAGACTGGGATCAAAAAGACTGAGTCAGCAGTGAGGTCAGTCACTCCAGAAACGGGGCCTGGCTGGTGGACCTTAAAACCAGGCTCTGGGCAGCTGCTCACACAGCTGCAGCATGCAGCCCCTCAAGCCACCTGCTTCTGGTTGCTCAGCAGAGCGCAACCTTTCCGGTCCTCTTGCCCTCTCTTCTCAGCCCGCTCTCCTCACACTCTGGGCCTCTCTCCGTCTGAGGCTCCTCTCCCCCCATGCAGCTGCCCTCCATGCCAGCTTGATCCTAGTGGTGCTTAGTCTTAAAGATGGCCAGCCTTGAAGTTTTCCTTTGAAACTCTAATAAAATTGTCCTCGTGCCCTTAAAAACAAATTATGGCCCTTTCCCTGAAATACTTAGCAATCTGACTAAGACAAAAGCAACCCATGATGAGAATGTGTATGTGTGCACGCACAAACACACACACATATACACACAAACACATGTATGCACTGCATACCATGGATCACATGAAACGTATGCAAGCCCACGAGATAGACTCATAATGCCAGCAGGATCTCCCCTGACGCCAAGACAGTGTAATGTAAGGGGAAGAAATGAATGAAGGTCCAGTCTGAGGTGTCAGACGCGTATGGCTAGCACATGTGCCACGCAGGCATCCCTCCACCTGCACGCGTTATGCTCCTGAAGTGGACTGAAGACAAACTCTTCCTTTCACACCAAGTTAACTGTAACTCCAGACCTCCCCACGGCCAGTGTGGCTAGTCTCTGAGGCAGGGCTCCAGTTTGGACTGTAAGAACCCAACAGAAAAACTCTAACTCTGCTTTTTGAAAGCTGTCTGAAGGTAGTTCTCATTAACAGCCTTTGCCAATCATATCATCTCAAAACTAACACTTTACAAAAACAAGAAAAACAATCCCGTCTTCCCACGAGTGTCCTGATGGAATTCGGCCCCTGCAGATAAATTCCTCAAGTACAGACTTCACCACATGAAATCTGTAACAAGCCTACATCTACAGTTCTGAGAAATCTGCACAATGAAATTTTATTACAGTGTTCCGTGTGTGAAAAGGAAAGAAGCCTCCATTTGCCGTCTGCGGAGTCCCTGACATCCTCTGGGGTTCATGATCTGACTGAGAATGCAGACTCAAAGCCCGGAAAGCCTGTACTCTCCTCAGGTGTCTCCTGACTTATGGAAATACCTTCTACCACGTCTGACTCCAAAGCAAGCCACGGTATACAATAAATTGAAGCTTAAAATATCAGAATGGCAAGTATACACATACATTGGCTACTAAAGTCAAAATCACCAACTAACCCAGGAATCTCGCAGGATTGAGAACTTTTGCTGTCAGTCATGCAAACATGAAAACTCAGAACAGAAAACCTACTCACTGTATGACTAAGGTCAGCCCCCAATCCCAATCTTCACCACTCTGAGCAGTACTCTGAATTTCTGAAGTGTCATGCATTCAAAACCAAATACAACACACTTTGTCTACTGGACATGCTCCTCTCAACAAGTCTTTCACAGTGAAAGACTCATGACTGAATGTTTCCTCCGTCTAACGTGTCAGTCATGACTATAGTACTTGCTCTCTTCCTCTGGTAAGCTTTACATTTCTTTACAATTTGCATCTTTTTAAAGTCCAGTAACCAAAACTGGGCTTGCTACTCAGTGGTGTGGTTAACTGTTTCCAGTCCTGTTTGAGGTTCTTTGGTGTCTCGTTTTTGATGTCTTGCCCTGCACATGCGTGGCAAGCACATTAGCACTCGGCCATGGCCCAGCCAAGCCCGAGCTTTGTCAAAGACTCCACAGGGCTAGAGAGCCAGTTCAGTGGTAGAGTACCTGCTCAGTATGCACAAGGTCCCTCAGGACTAGGATGACTCAATGGGTGCGTAAGTGAGTGAAGGAATGGCTCACCTGTGACTCTAGGTGCCACGTCCATTTCAAAATACCTGTGCATGACACTGATGTTATTACTGACTCCCCTGCAGCTTGTGGTCGCCCAGGCCTCACCCACCCCCCACTTTACCCCTATCTCATCCTTTTCCAACTGGTATTTATACGCTTGTGTCTTCCATCCACCTGTCACCTTGTGCTTCATCCATTAAACTTGATGAGCTATTCATGGATTCCTTTACCATAATCCTTTAATGGCAACAACTATATATATGCAATTCATATCTGCCATTTATGCCTTAAAACGCTAAGAATATGAAAGTCCGTATGATCAATATTACACAGCAAGAGGGATTAGAGACGTGACACTAAGGGACAACCCACCAATGAAACCCACCTACCTCCACTGGACGGTCATCCTTCACCAGAGCAACACGAGCCCTCTGCAAGGAGCCGTTCATTAGCTTATGAAGTCGTAAGATTAACTTTCTTAGCCCCATTTGCTTCAGTGCTTTGTCCACGAACGGTCTATAGATAGATGTCAAACAATGCCTACTGGCTTCAGGACCACAGTCTGCTGTTCCCCAGCCGACAGAGTCCTCCTCGGACTCAAACCTCTCAAGCTTCCTGGATATGCAGCCCTGGGAGTGACTGTCCAAGATGGTGTCTGAGGACAGCCTGAGCTCTGACGCCCTCGGATTGGGGGTTCGATCCTCATCACTTTCCTCCGTGCCACTCTCCAGCTCCCTCAGCTCTCCCTCCGTGTCCTCACCCTCGTCCTCAGGCTCGTAGCCTTTGGATGGCCGAGGGGAAGGGATTTCAAACACTGGCCAGCCAATGTCTGATAAGTTCTTGATGCCCAGAACAGTGCCCATAATCCTCAGCTTCTGATTTAAATCTTTTGTGATGTTCAGCCACAGGCAGAGTGCCTGCACTCTGTCCTCGAAGTCCTTGGCGGCGTACCGCTCGTAGTCCTTCTGCAGAGCCTGCAAGGACGGATACAGTGCCTCCATGTACTCCAGCAGCTCCATTATCCGCTTCACCTGCTCAAAGGAGACCCTCTGGCGATGGAGGTGCTCGTGGTACGTGGACCAGCGGGGACTGCTTGCCCTGCAAGGGGTTCTGCACTGACCTTCTCCCGAGGTACCGTTGAAACCAGCTCCGTTGTGAGCAAAGGCAATGCTCCCATAATTAACTTTGAATGTGAGGATTTCATTGATAATGTCTGGGATGGCTTGGCGGGCTGTGTATAAAAAGAGGTCCTGGTCATTGATGGTGCGGCCTGCGTGCCAGGCCTGGAGCTCTAACCAGATCAGTTCATTTGATCGGTTGAACCAGAAAGCAGCCGTGTTTTCTTGTCCCCTCTGTTCCCTGTCCTTCTTCTTCGAGACTGAGGTAAGCTTTAGCAAAAGGCGCAGTGTTTCAAAAAACTTTAAGCGATCTGCTGGGCAGTCAGTCCGGGATGTCTGCCGTGCAGTTCTGGCTATAGGCATGGGCATAGAGACGGGCAGCTTGGCATTGCTACAGCCGAGGCTGAGGTAAGGCTTATTGAGATCCACATCTGGAATCGATTTTTTTGGCAAAGACCCAGCCACCGAGTCCAACATGAACGAGCACTGTGCATTTTTCTTATGGTCTCGCTCCGTTGTTCTCAGAGTCGCCCGAATCTTCTTCTCCTGCTTGTAGCTGTATTCTTCCACAGTCTCCACACCCTTCCCCGAATCTTTATGTGTTGACTGACTCGGTGTGTTCATTTTTTCTATTAAAAAGAAAACAACAGAACAGTTTAAAACTCTAAAGTATGAGACTAGTCACTGTTTTAAACCAAATACTCTCACACATTCACACTCAGGCTATCACCGTGAAAGAGACATTCCACAGACAAAACCTGAAGATAACCAGAAACCAACACGGTGTAAGGTTTAATGTCTGTTTTCATGTTTCTTGCTATATTACACTTGTGTTCTTTTACACTCGCAGTCGCTGAACAGACTGTCAAATCTGACACTAAAAAATGTACTGAGCCCCTTATCCGACGTAACGGCCTCCAACCTGAAGAACAGGAAATGGTGTGAGAAGTGTGACAGCGACTGAGTTCGGCAGAACAGTCAATCCCTGCCTCTGTCTTAGTGAAGCAGATCACTGGAATCTCTCCAGTCTTTCTTCTCCCTGACAGGACGGGATGGTGCGACATCCAAATGCTAGTCAAATACGCTGACTCCCTAACACCCACGTCTCTAACGTAGGCATGATGGCTGCCTGAAGCCAGTGCTGCCTGGTGGTGACAGGAAGGGGTGTCTCTGAGACCTGCCACTGAATTCATGAGCTTCAGGTTTAGCAAGAGACCTTTCTGCAGTAAAGAAACTTCAGAACAATGGAGGAAGAACCCAGGGTTGACCTCTGCCCTCCACATGCACGGACACACACATGAACACATATCTAAACTCACAAATGTAACCCCACACATGCAGACACTCATGCACACCACAGACTTGCAAAACTTCAAGAATGTTTAAGGCCCTTCAGGATTATTTCATACAAAGCAGAAGACGGTGATGAGCAGAACTGGGGATTTCATCCTTTGCTCTCTTCTGTCACAGACAAGTGAACTGAACGTGAGCAGGACTGAAGGCACACAGACTGACTCATTACAATTCACTGGTCTGTCGCATCAGCACAGGAGTCGTTCAGAGTCAAGGAACGCCTTGCACATTTCCTTCAAGCCAGTGTAAAGGTTCCACTGATCCGATGTCCCACTTCTGCCTTTGTTTGCATTTTAACAGCACTAGGCTAAAGGACAGGTAGGACAGAAAGGAAAGGTATTTCCAAGATTTTCTCCACAAAACTTTGTTTTTCAGGCTATCAGTTCATACACTACTTTGTTACCACAAGACAGAGAACGCTGAATACACTGTGTGTAGTACTGGACACAGACCCTGCATTGTGAGTGGCCAGAGCGCTGATCTGAGATACCTTTGACTCAACTGTGTGGAGCTAGCTCTCGGGAAATAAAATGAGGTTGATGGATCAGGAGAGGAGCCCAGAGACCCCAGCACTGAAGAGGCCATGGATTCCAGCACCAAGGAAAGACGCAGAGAAGAGGCACCGAGGACCAGGGAAAGTCGTGTTTCAGCTAGTATGTTCATCCTGATAGTCTCCAGTTAGAGAAAATAAAAATTATGAAATAAAAACAATTTTGATAATAGGGCTTAAGATTTAAGAAGAAAAAGCTTGAGCTGAGGAGACAGCTCGGCTGGTAAAACATTTGCTGTGCACGTATGAGGACCTGAGTGTAGATCCCTAGCATCCGTGTGAAATGCTGGGCCGTGGCAGCATGGTGCCTGTATCCCAGCTCAGGGTGGGAACAGAGGGATCTCCAGGGCTCCCTCAGCACTTAGCGCAGCTGAGTCTGCACTACAGGCTCCGGGCCTCAAAAAGAGGTGTGGAAAGTGACTCAGTATGCTCGACCTTGACCTCTGGCCTGTACCTGCACAAAGTCACATATGCATGTGTGCTCCGTCTCTTTGTCTCTGTCTCTCTGTCTCTCTCTCTCTCTCTCACACACACACACACACACGCGCACACACACACACACTTTATAAACCTAATGTGGCATGCATTATTGGTAGCAGTCATAGAATGTGAGTCATTTACAATTTAAAAAGTAGATTTTTAATTGTTCATGATCTTCTGCAATGTAAGCATTATGTCCTGATCTATACTGTATCTACCAAGAGGCCAAACATGCAAATATGAGATGAATCTATTTCAAGTAGATAATTACTTCAACAATCAAAAGTCCCATGGGCTTGGGGACATGATCCTACCTTTCTGTGTAGGCATAATCTCATTTTAGTAGGCCTGAAAACTAAAATGCTTGTAGGTCACACTGTATACACACAAATCTAACTGAGCTTACCATTTAGTACAACTGTGTGTCTTATACAACTGTTTGAATGTGCATTTACACCAAACAATGGTTTAATACTTGGATCTACAGAGTGTGACCGAAAGCAAATAGGGGAAGGGGCAAGATGAGACAAACAATTACCTTTTCCCCAAAACAGGAGACAAGTTGGCGTGTATACATACATACATATACATACATACATACATATATATATACATGTGTGTATATATATATATGTGTGTGTGTAGTGTATGTATATGTGTGTATATATACACGTATGTATATGTATATACATATATTCACATATTACAGTGGAATTCAAATAGAAGACAGACCTAAGCCCCAGTCTAGCCACATGTAAATGCCTGTTATACCACTAGAAGCCAGATTGGGGGTGGGCTGGGGGTGGGGCTACTGGCTCAGTCTACATAGCTGTGCTTTCAGATGTTGTAAGTATTTGTAATGGTGTGAGTAAACAAATGTGCCAGACAGGCCTCCCCAAAGGAGGAACCTAGCAACCATGGGAGACCTGGGGAACACCAAGGCTTTGAGACAGAAGCCACCTAAGCTCTGGCTACTTTGTCTTTCCCCACTGACATCACTGATAACCTTTTAATCCACCCAGAGCCCACTGCTAATCAACAGGTTGTTGGCTCTGTTTTCTGTTGAGACTAAATCCTCTGGAATCAACAAGAAGTCCAACACAGAGAGCAGCTCTGGAAAGGAGTAATTTCAGAGCTGGCATAGTGAAGCACATCTTTAATTCTAGCACCCAGGAAGCAGAGGTGTGCAGAGTTCCAATCCAGCCAGAGCTGCATAATGAGACTCCACCTCAGATAAATATATAGAATAAGTGATTGGAATCACACATTGGGTAGTGGTAAATCATATTTTAGCAGTTAAGATTTCAATAAGGTTTGAACATAACATAAGGGAGAAAGAAATTTCACTTTATAGCTTAAGCTAAGTAGGAATTTCAAACAGATGAGCCAGCAACAGTTCGAATCACACAGACACCTTTGCTATGGACTTTATAAGTCAGTGTTTGCAAACACTCACATACATGGCTGAAGCTGGGAGTGCTCTGTCGAGGGACAGAGACTGTAGCTGCTGCAATGAACTTGAGCTCGCTAGCAATCTGACACCTTCATGTGTGGAGTGTCACACATCTCAAGGTGAGCCATTTTGGAAAGAGAATCTTGTGGGCATGTGACAAATTCTGGGTTGATACTAAGCCTTTTAAAAGATTTATTATTCTTTTTTTTTAAATATGTTATGCATGTGTGTGCCACATGTGTGCAGAAGCCTGAAGAGTCCAGAGAGGACATGAGAGCTCTAGAACTGCAGCGAACTGCGGCTGTGCGGCTGTCCGATGTGAGTGCTGGGAACTGAACTCATGTCTTCTGTAAGAGCAGCAAGCCCTCCTAACCACTGACCATCTCCCCAGCCCAGGTCAGTGCTTCTTAATCTTTTCTGACGACTGCATTTGAGACTCTAATGGAGTTATAGATGTTCACAATGAGCAATGAAATGTTCATCCATTCTTTATGGCTTCAGAGTCACTATGACAATGACACAAAGAACAACTCAGATGAGTTGGCCTCTCATCTATTCCTCGAATTTTGTTCAAAGCTGCATTTCCTTACATGCTGTGCTCAAGCTGCTGCTATGCAAACACGTGTGTTTAGAACACACTGCATCTACACTGGCATTGATAGTCAACCTCCTTTTTCTAATAAAGTTCACACACTTTCATGTACTTAAACTGCAATGGTCAATTCCCCTTCTACTATTCTATTATAAACAAGCAAATTTAAGCAGCTAAAGTAGGCTAGCAGAAACTTAAAACATTAATAATGCAGACAACACAAGCAAGCAAGGTATGTATACACCGCTAAGAGTAAAAGCAGAATAGGCATGACACTACCTGCCAACTTAAATACACACACTTTCCAATACAGCAGATGCACCACTGAGTAGCTGAACTCCAAAAATAATTCCACGTGTGTACAAAGACACAGAAGAGGTGCTTCTCATAGCACAAGTGCTTATTTGAAAATATAGGGGAAAGCCCATCAGGAAAGGTTGCAGTTATCCTAAAAAAGAATGGGTTCGAATAGCTGCCACAGAGTGGCAGGCTCGCCTACTGTGCAGTAGCAACAGCGGTCTTCCCCCACACTGCAGGTCTACACGGTCTTCCCCCACACTGCAGGTCTGCACAGTCTTCCCCCACACTGCAGGTCTGCACAGCGGTCTTCCCCCACACTGCAGGTTTACACAGTGGTCTTCCCTCTTACTGCAGGTTTGCAAGCCCTGTGACAATGCAGCCTCACAGTGCAGAGTCCACTAGGATGCACGGCTCATCTTGGGGCCAGTGTTTCACCTCCAGTATTTCCTGTTAGAATTTATCATTCTAACTGCTAGTTACTGGTGGGAAACTGTAGAACTCAGCACTTTCACTAAACAATTTCAATAAAAGCCAACCTTCTAATCCCACATATGTACCAGAGATCTTCATGGTCTGACCTTAGAATCCCTGAGAAACAAACCTATGGCATAAGTTGCCTCAAGCTAAGTGTGAGATAACGCTTCAAAAGTCACATCCGTAACAAGGGTTTCCACTGCAGAAGATAGAGGACCAGTCCTGGTGGTGATGTATCCCATGTGAACGATGCTCTCGCTGACCTGAGGCTTTACACTCCCCTCCACATTTCTGGCATTTATGAGGAAGAGATTCCACAGAATCTGGAAAGACAGCAGGATGGCTTGCCAATTTCCCCAAAGCATTACATGGAGGCATGTAGGGCTAGTCTCCTGAGGCAGCTAATGAACCAAACCTCTGGGTACCGGTGCCCTGGTAGTCCATAGAGCATGCAGATGGCACTGTCTAGTGAAGGCACGCAGATACGGTGCTGTAGGACTTTCCTGGCAGAGTCTCAAGAGCTTACACAGGAGACTCTCAAAACCCTTGCTCTGACAAAAGCCAAGTGCCATATCAGAGGCTCAGCTCCTCAGGGACTAGGATACTCTGCATGCATCCGGCCCATGCAAATGATCACATAGAGAGAAAACACTGCCTGCTAAGCCTCAGCTGGTCTTGCCATTTCAGCTCAAATCCAGACATAAAACCAAGGGAACCACCTGAGACATCTGAGAAATGGCAGATACCACGTGGAGAGGGGCTAAGGGCTCAGAGTCAGGGCCCTAGCCAAACTAAGCCATATTTCCAGCCAATGGAACTTCTCCAGCTAAGGAACCAGACACCATGGGCAAATGACCTTCTATTCTGCCTACATACGCGAGTGACAGAATCATGAGCAATGAGTAGCTTTGCGGTCATGCAGAGTTTCAGGGTGGTTTATAAAGGGCAATAGGTAAGCAGAATAACAGGATCTCATCAGCAACTTCTCTGTCCAAAAGCTGAGTCCAGCTTCGACTGCAGCCTAAAGTTAACGGTGTGACTCAAAGACCCACTGTAAGGCAGGAGTGATACGCCAGTTCACAGCTCCTTGGAAAGCTCTGAAAATAAATCTGACCAAACTGATCAATTCTAAGAAGCTCTTCAAACTACAGAGAGACCGAGAGATTATTATGAATCATACACTAGTCTGAAATCGTGGTGTCCCTGACTCAGCCTTTAAGTCACAGCACAAATGTCACTTGTTCCAGAAGTCTTACACCAGGGCTCCTCAATACCCGTCCTGTGTGTGCCTTTGGTGACCTCCATGCGCCCGACCGCACCAGCCCACACTCGTGTGCTGCCTGAGTCGTGGACGCCCTGCAGGAGACGGGACTGTCTTATTCATCCTCTAAAACAAGACATGCCTGTGCAGTCACTGGAATTCTGACTCAGTGGAAAGACTGAAGGAGAAACAAGGGCAGGACAGGAGGGGGAAAAGAAGGAAAGATGAATCAGAGAGAAAGGAAGACTAAACAACAACACAGAGGCAGTAGTAAGGAGATTGGGTAGGAAGAAAGACGCAGGCAACGGAGCCACGTGACCAGAAACAGCCAATTAAACAGAAGATATAAATAACATAAGGTAATTTCATTTTACCTTCAGATATAAAACAAAAAGGGAAAGTATTAAGGGGAATTTTTTTTTAAGTTTGAGGCAATAATAATGACAGTTATCACATAACCCTCAACACACTGTAAACAACATGATTGTACAGATAATAGTGACAGTTATCACATAACCCTCAACACACTGTAAACAACGTGATTGTACAGATAATAGTGACGGTTATCACATAACCCTCAACACACTGTAAACAACGTGATTGTACAGATAATAGTGATGGTTATCACATAACCCTCAACACACTGTAAACAACATGATTGTACAGATAATGACAGTTATCACATAACCCTCAACACACTGTAAAAAATGTGATTTTACAGATAAAGGATGACACCCAGTGGTTGCATTCCCAGAATGTCCATCAGCCAGACTGGAAACCATGCAAGCTGGCACCTGGTGGAGGCTTGTGCACCACACTACACAGCTAAGTTCTGAGGCCAGATGAGGTCTCAGGGGCTACCATTCTGTCACAACGCCAGTGCCACATATCAGGACAGTGCACTTGCCCAGATGGCTCCCTCACGCCATCTGTTCTTGGCCTGTATGAACAAGAATTCTGACAACAAATAACTTGCAGGCTGGCATGTGTGGAGCGGAGCTGCTTTCTAACACACGCACAAGAACATGTGAGACAGAAGCCCAGAGCTCTGTCACTATGAAGAGACAAGCTGCAGATGATGACACCGCAGACACAGAAGCCAGGAGCCTAAGTCACGCTGAGCATAAGCAGTTCATAAAACATTAAGCACAGAAGACAGCTGTCAACAGTAAACACAGGGTAAGGCACACGAGCAGACACAGCAGGCTAATGCACTCAAGGAGCCCGGTTTTCCTGTACTCTCAATGGCTTTTCTGCTTGTGTTTCTAAGCGGCTCAGCCAACAGTAATCCTCTGAAGTAAGAAAGAGAAATGACCAAGGATCCCGACATCCCTGGGCGAGCATCAGACAGCTATGAGTCTAAAGGCCCAAGAGGATTAGCTGCTTCATTTGAAACCAGCAGACATGTAGATGACTGAGACCCTTCCTACCCCTTAAACTTTACAATTTTATGAAATAAAATAATTCAAAGCAGATGAGAAGGAAGAGAGACAGTTTTCCTTTTCCGCCCTTTTCTAACAGAAAAATCTAAAACCCCAGGATTTCTGTGGCTGGAGTGGTAAGCTGTGTGAGGGCACAGTGAGCCGGCAGCACGGCACAGTTCCATTCGTCCACCTTAGGAAACAGAGTCAGGAGGAGCTGGGAGGAAGGAAGAAGCACAAAGAGCCATGTTGTCAGCGGCAAGAGACAGGACATAGCTGGGCTCTAAGATGCCACTCACAGAAGAAAAGAAAGGCTAGGCTGTCTCCGTGAATCCCAGATCTGAGTTCCCTTCATGGCTCTCAGATATGAGTACCTTACAGGTCCCTCCATGGCTCTCAGATATGAGTACCTTACAGGTCCCTCCATGGCTCTCAGATATGAGTACCTTACAGGGTCCCTCCATGGCTCTTGGATTTGGGGTTCCATCTAGGGTCCCTCCATGGCTCTCAGATATGAAGTCCCATCTGGCAGCTGCTTAGCATGGAAGAACCCTACACACTGAGTCACTGGCAGAAGACGGAGGCCTCGGCTGGTTCCAGAATTCAGGAATCTCCAGCCTGGCTATCTCCTCCCAGATACCCAATATACCACTGCTGGAGAAAAGAACTCAGAAACCTCAGCAAGAGATCAAAAGAGTAATTGCAGGCAGCCCAAGTAGTATCTAGCCACCTTGGGTTTGCAGCCTCTACCATAGCCTCAAAAGACTTTAAGCACAACCCAGGACAAAGCCTCCTGCACTGGGCAATCACCTGCCCCCTTCTACCAGCCGCACAGCCTATGGGGCTATGTCAAAAGAACAACCCTACTGCCAGCACTGAGATACAATTTAAAACAAAGGAGTCACTAACACTGTCAACGACTTGTCGATCACGACAGTCACATAACAGTGATGCTCCACACCTGCCACACACCCCTTCCCGTGGATCTTCTACATGACAGGCTCACCTTTCAAGTTGGATCGGCTGGCCGGCCTCCCTGCACTGTTCCTCTGGTGCTTGGCTGACAGGCGTTTCATCTGTCGGGGTGTGCTTGGGGGTGAGGTGCCGTAGAGAGTCTCTGTATTTGTTTCATCAGAGAAGTCCTCTGGGTCAGACTCCATACTCTTGCAAGCCGACTCTCCCAACATGCACTCCTGCCTACAGAAGACAGCAAACACAGAGAGAGCTCTTAGTATCACAGGAATTACATTCCCAGCTTTCTTTGGGAAGGCTGCAAAACGTCTCCACCTGTCTCCTCAGCAACGCAGTCCTTCCTTCAAGGGAGTAGTGACAGTGCTTGTGGCCACTAGCTGTGAACTGTCAGGTGCAGCGTGGGCACAACCAGCGTGCTGTGTCTGATGCCTCTGGAGCTCTTTCAAATCTAAGTGAGCTTCAAACTAAAAACTACAAATTAAAAGAGGAAACAGCAAAAGACTACAAGTTACAAATCAGACAGAGCTAAAAACAGACCTGTGCACCAGCTTTGGCAAACATACTAATGAGAGGGCAAGCACAGGCCCGCCCGCCTGGGATTCCAGGGTCTAGCCCAGCTCTTCCGGAAGGGCACAGGCTGAACAACAGCAGACAGCATTTCCCATGGCCCACATGGGGAGACACGGTGCTGGCACAATGTAGCGTCCAGAAAAATACCACATATCCACCTACCACCACTGAGCTTCTGAGGCTTGGTTTCTGAAAACACTGCCTATCCTTCTGCAGCCAGCCAATTCTCAAACAATATCACTACTTTGATAAAGTTCCTTTTCTGCAAAACTTACACAATAAACTTCAGTTCCATAAAATGAGAGCAAATCTAATTCTGAAACCAAAAACCGGGAGGAACAACCATTAAAGCTTTCTTATATGTAGATCTCATTAGGAATAGTTTATAAACTAAGCTTTACAGAACCTAAGACTGTATATGGTATGGATTCTTTCTAGTAACTTACGTCACAATATAAAACCAATGCTAATCCAAAATCACAAGGAAATGGGGAAGGGCACTCAAGATGTGTAAAATTGTCATTAAACTAGAAAATCAAAACAGAAGCTATCAGGCTGGAGAGATGGCTCAGCAGTTAAGAGCACTGACTGCTCTTCCAGAGGTCCTGAGTTCAATTCCCAGCAACCACATGGTGGCTCACAACCATCCTCAATGAGATCTGATGCCCTCAAGTGGGTGTCTGAAGACAGCTACAGTGTACTCATATACATAAAATAAATAAATTTTTTTAAAAAAGACAACCCCCCCGCTCAAAAAAAAAACAGAAGCTATCATCTGAAAACTAAGCATTTGGGGTTGATGAGCCAGATCAGTAGGTAAAGTGCTTGCTGCACAAGCAAAGACCTGAGTTCAGAGCCCCAGCACCCGAGTAAAAAATCTCACATGGTGGCATATTTCCATAGTCCCAGCATAGACAAAGCAGGTGACTTACGGGGAGGTGGGGGGTTGATCACTGGCCAGGCAGTCTACCAGAAATGGTGAGCCCCAGGTTCAATGAGAGACTCTGTCTACAGTAAGAATAAACAAGGAAGATAGCATGTCGACTCTGGTCTCTAAAAACACCCACACGTGCTAGCAGCTGCACACACATGCCCCAGAAGTTCTACAGAATTACACAGGTTTACCAGGTATGGTGGTTAACATATTGAATCCCAGCCCTGGGATGCAGATTTCTGGGTTCAAGGACAGCCTGAGTTTCACATAAAGATCCTGTCTCAAATCAAAGGGATTGGTGGGCTAAAGAGATGGTTCGACAGTTAAGAGTACTTATTCGGGGTTCAGTTCCCAGAACCGACATGATGGCATAAAACAATCCCTAGCTCTAGTTCCAGGGGACCCACTGCCTTCTTCTAACCTCCCTAGGCACCAGGAACTCACCTGGAGCACATACATACATGTAGACAACTCCTACATATAAAATAAAATAATTAAAAAAATAACTGCACAAATTTCCAGTAATGAAATTTATTTATTTATTATTCTATCTGCGAGTGGATCCCTTAGATGCTGTCCTGCAGTGACTTGTGACACACCTTCTTTTACTTTTACAATCTCCAAGGAGTAGAACACCCAGGCTGTGGAGAAGTCCTCTCCTCCCTTGGGGCTAGGGGTGGAGGTATTATCCATCTGCCTCTGGCTGCCAGCATGGTTGCAACAGGAAAGGTTCATCGTGCTCCTGCTTTATCACACAACACTCACCAACACAGTACCCCTCTCGTGGGACTTGCTGGGTCCCTCGGATTCACAACCTCGGATTGATGGCCCACTCCAGATTCACAACCTTGTTTTGGAAAGCCTCTTTCTGGGCTTTTCTCCACAGAAGGTTCTCTCAACTGCAGCATGTACAACTTTTATTCTGTAATTTTTGTGGAATTCCCGTTAATTTTCCATCTATACCCCACCCATGCTGCTCTGGCTGCCTTACAGGTCACTTCTGCCTGTCCTGTGAGGAAAGGCCGCAGTAAATGCAGGGGGGATGGATATGCACAGCATGCCTCGACAGAGGAGACTGTAGAGCTGAAAGAGCAGAGAATGTAGTGTATACTCACCTACACTCACTGAAGAGGATTCTAAAGGAAATGACTCCTGAACAGCCTAACCAAGAAACTCAAGAACAAGGGATAGCCGGGCGGTGGTGGCGCACGCCTTTAATCCCAGCACTTGGGAGGCAGAGGCAGGTGGATTTCTGAGTTCGAGAGTTCAAGGCTAGCCTGGTCTACAGAGTGAGTTCCAGGACAGCCAGAGCTACACAGAGAAACCTTGTCTCGGAAAAACCAAAAAAAAAAAAAAAAAAAGAAAAAAAAAAAAAAAAGAAACAAGGGATAAAGCAGTAACCACAGCTGTGGTTGAGAAGTCAGTGGATTAAAGAATACCCCTAACTGGAACAAATGGTACCTCAGGGAATAAATGGAACTGAACGCTGTCCTAAGGAAAGTAACCCAGGAGGTATGGAGATCTACGTGTTGAATGTGAAAACGTAAAACTTTTACCCAGAGAAAACCCTCATTACCTCACAGTAGAACGGCTTCTTAAGATAAATGTTCATCATCAACTGAAGATGACTTTTAAGACACAGACTTTCTCAACTAACACACGAGAGTGAAAAACTGAGCCAGAGCAGGAAACATCATACACGAACAACAAAATCCAAAACACAGACAGACGCAACAGACCAACCACCAGACACCAGGGAAAAAGAATGTCACACACGTTAACAACAAAGCCCGAAACACAGAAGCTACACACCAACTGCCAGACATCAGAAAAACAACATAAACACTGGCAAAATGCTTGTGCAAGCACTTTAGAGAAAATACTGGGCTGAGGGATATAGCTCAGTGTAGGTTCTCACACTACAGAAAAAATGTCTAAGTGGTACTCAGCTTTACGACTAACAGCAAAAAATAACGACTACCACACTGCAGAAAGTCAAACTATACCATATGTAAGGATGAGGGGGGAGGACCCCTGCAAACCACTATACAGGTAAAGACTGCACAGTGCAGCTTGAGGCTGCTTTGTCATTGCCTGCGGAAACTGAAGACGTGCTACAGCTCAGCAACTTAAGCCCTTGGCACATGCACTACGCACATGTAGCAGATGTCATATTGTTTATAATAGACAAAATCCTAAGTCACATTTTTTTGCAAGAGCAGAGTGCCTATGGTGAGAAGAATATGGTGTCTGTGACGTGGACAGACACAGCGGGGCTTTCTGTGACGTGGACAGGCATGGTGGGGCTTTCTGTGACACGGACGGGCACAGCAGGGCTTTCTGTGACATGGACAGGCACAGCGGGTCTCTTGCTAGTGAGCATTCCTTGGTGTCTGTTCCTTGCATGGTTTTTGTTAAACTAACCAAATCAATGCTTCATGACATTTTTATATCTAACTTGAAAGGAAATAAACCATAAGCACTCAGAAGGAAGGTTAACTGAGCACACAGTGAGTGCTCAGTGAAAACTAGCTGCTGTCATGGATGTGTGATACGTACCTATAATACTAACATGCTGGAGGCTGGGCTACAGAGTGAGACCTGTCTCATGTTAGCTGAAGGAGCCTTATGTCCAATATTTGAGTCTCTTAGTTGACTCATGAGACTATGTCATTGACCATGAGACATTTGCATTACTGCACATACGCACACTGTCACAGAATGGGGAGGGCCTCACGAAGGCCCTTCATTTCCTCAGACTTTGTACAAGTGATGGTTGATGGAGTAGACAGAGGTATTTCCTTCAGTAGTATAGCCATTGGTAAGGTGCCCATGCTCCCATAAGTAATCTTAATGAAACCCATTGGGATGGACGGACGGACGGACGGACGGATGGACACACACACACCCGCAAGCAAAAGAGAGACTATGGGAAAAAGAGGGAAGGGGTTGTTAACGTGACCCAAATAGAATGTATATGTGTATAAAAACATCATAAAACCTACTGTGAATAATTAATAAAAACTTTTTAAAAGATAAAAAAATAAATTCCATCAGCAAGTTAAAACTGATTTTTAAGCTACTGTACTTTTACCAGACCACTCTAGGTCTTTCATGAAAATACCTACATACTCCCAAACTCGTACACAGAGTATGATGCCCTGAACTACAATCTAATTTAGGAATGTTTTTAAGGCACTGACCCACTCACTAGGCTAATGATATTTATCATGTAAGTCTCATAAAGTAATACAACAAGTAGTATATCTCATTATTAACTTGAAGGTTTTTATTTCCATTTCTGTAGTCACTGTAAACTAGCTGATTTGATTGGCTTAAGGTCATGGCTACCTATGCCAAGGTAATGTATTTCTTTTCCACGTTTCAGTGTCAAGGGCAGTGGTTCTGGGATGGCTCCACAGCTCAATGGAACAGAGACTGCCTAGTATGCACGGGAGTCTGGGTTCAACCCCAACTACAAAAACATCACTGAATGAGGTACTCCAGACCCATGAAGAAAACATGTTTCCTCCCAATCACGGAGTTAGCTTTGAGTATTTACATCCGTGTGTCTCAAATGAAATGCCCACAGAGCACAGGAGTTAGTGAGCAATCAAAGAAGGGAGACGGACCACAGGGACGTGAGGAGGAACACAGGGACATGAGGAGGAAGAGGAACAACAGAAGAGGTTAAGTGGGTGGGGAGTGGGAGGGCAGGGTA